CCTGGAGAGAAGTAAACCACCCTTCAGCCCCCCTTACGGCAACCTCTGAGCTAAGCCCCTGTGAGAGCCAGCACAGGTCGGCCGTTGTGAAATATAGCCGGGCGTAATGACCCTCTAAATTAACTCCTTGTAACCCTGCATTTCTCAAATGGCCGTCATTAGCATATACTAGGGTGCAGAGAGACGAGAGAGGGCCAAGTCTGCCCCGCGGCGGGCCCGCACCGACCCTGTACTCTGTCTCAGCACTGCGAGCGCTGCTGTAACGGTACTGTAAAGTTCATCCTTATAAACATGTCAGATGGGCATGTAATTAACCGACTGGCCATTAGATAATGGATCTAGTACCTGTGAGTTGCCTGTCATTCAGGAACAGCACACATGCTCCAGCTCCCTCTACGGTCCTAAGACCATCCCAGTGCATTGTACCTCTTTAAAGTGGTTGTTTTTAGAAGTATTGAAGCTAGTTTGGGGGTGCTGCAAAAAAAACTTGAAATGGCTTTTAAAAATTACTGTTACTTCCACAATGTGATGATTAGAAGGGAAGGAAAGGAAAGGAAAGGAAAGGAAAGGAAAGGAAAGGAAAGGAAAGGAAAGGAAAGGAAAAGAAACTGAGAAGAGAAGGGAAGGGAAGGGAATGGAGAGGCTAGGGAAGCTCTTAACAGCTGTCACTGTGACACACACTAATAGCTTGTTGATTAAAAAAGACCCTCATTGCAACTGCAACCACAAAAATTCCCCTTCTAATTGAGAGACACGTCAAAGGCACATTGGTTTGGTAAGACCCCCATCCTCCTCCTCCTCCTCCTCCAGGTCCCCACCTCAATCACATTTACACCTCCACTTCATTCTCTCCCTCTGTAGTTATCTTTTTTTCTTCTCAACCTCAAATTAATGAAAAGCGGGCCAAAGAGGGAGCGCTTTCAGTCATTTTAACAGCCAGTTAATAAATGCGATTGCAAATGGAACTTGTCACCGCACGCTAGAGAGCAGCGCGCGGTCAATATCCCGGCTGGCAGGTGCTGAGGGTCACATATAAGTCAGCCCAGTGATGGATATGTATCCAATAATTGATGTAGGCCGTCTGTTATTGTGGGTTTCACTCCTGCCTCTATTGCTTATTAAAAGCTGTTTGCTTTAAGTACCAGGCTGCCCTGTAACTGCCCATGCTGGCTGTTAGCTGAGCATCAGGAACCACAGGCAATGGAGAAGACGGCCAACTCTGGCTGTCAACACAAATATAAAAAATATTTTGGCCACACAGGTTAACTTCTAGTTTTAACGGACAATATACTTGTTTTAATTAATAAATGCACACACCTGAACTCTCTACTAATAGCTAAATATTAAGGTGCAAGAACATTTATACAGAAACAACACTACAGTATATATATACATATTATAAATACGGCTCACATCCAGTCTGTATGACGTTATTTTCATAATCAGCACAATCTACTGATGCCACTGTTTGCGTGCAGACTCGAACCTAAGTCTCCCACATAAGCACCAGGGCTCAAAATATCAGAAACACATTCGTTAACCACTGTGCCATGGCAGAAAAGGCCAAATCATTTATAGAGCAGAGCAAGACTCTACTGTGTTGACATGTTGGGTTCTTGAAGAAGCAAATAAAGTGAGAGGACACAGATGGAAAGACAGAAGCAGAAAGAGAGGGAGATATGTCAGGAATTACCGCAGGGCCTAACCCTGCACGACTGGAAGGGTGTTGTTATTGTAAAACTCAGAAAGAGCTGCTATAGCACATTTCTGACATGTAGTGCTCCCTTTCACGGCCTGATCAAAGTGCCCCACCGCTACTGTCTCTGATAACCAAATCAATTTTCCCAGTCTTTTGTTTTTCGCTGAATAATGCACATTTAGCTGTAACCTTCGGGCACAGAAGGAAGACAAGGCAGACGAGAGGGGCAAGAAATGGAAGGGGTGAGTTAGAGAGGAAAGTGCTATTCCTTTATATTCCACAAAACGAAATATATTCCATAAAAGAGTAAAGAAAAGGAGGGAAATATTCAATAAACTTAGCAGAGGGTTTAAAAGCATGAAGGCTCTGGAGGACCGTGAACAGTGGTTGGAGGAGGTTCGTCAGGAGAGAACGGAATGATTAGAATATGAAATGTCTCGGAAGGGGGGAGTGGGTGGGAACGGAGCCAGAGAAATGGAGAGGTGAGATTAAAAGATTACCTGTCTTCTTCTCTCGCCCTTCAGGACCCTAGCGTCTGTCTGCCACCGCTGCCAGACCAGACAAGTCAATGAAAGAGAGACAGCTTCAAAACAAGATAATCATTACAATCAATCCTCACCGTATTACCTCTGGTGCTGATCACATTTTCAATCGCGTGGCTTTGTAATTGTGCATGTTTCTTGGCTCGAGAGCTCTTCAAATGCAACTTATCAGCTGCAAGTACATTATACTCCCTACAATAAAACATGAAGACCAAACAAACTGTTTGAACGGGGAGCATTAATGCAGCCAGTTTGTTTGAATTCAACAAGAAATTGTATTAAATCAGAAAAGGTGGCAGTTAAACCATGAAACATGCTACAATTAGAGGTTTATCATCCACCAGGTGAATTAAACCCATTTTTTTTGCATTTGTGTGTGATCAGTCCATTATTCTTTGTGGTTGCGCTGTAGTGAAAGAGTGAGTCATGCCACTCTTGATCTGTTCTGTTAGATGGGATACCCTTGACCTGTCGCATCCGCAGACATTGATATTCAGTAACAAGCCCCACAAAACAAAACGATCCATATCACAAGGTGACAGGAGACAGCTCTCTCTCCGTGTGTGTTTCTCTCTCTCTCACTCTTCAGTATAAATGGGCTTTTAAGGTAAGTGCACATATGGCTACGGCCTGCCGTGGCCCTTTAACCTTAACTGTGACAAGGGAAAGTCTTTTTGAAAGAACATGCAAAAAGTTGGCCATAGATTAGTTCCTCAACACTTGCTTTGGCAGAGACTGAAAGAGAGGGAGAGAGATGAAGGGGCAATCAAAGAAGGAATGAAAAAAGGACGGCCAAAAAGGTGGGAGACAGCAGACAGGACCTGTGTTCGATTTAGTCTTGGCATTGACAAGTGAACTTGCTCTTTCTTGTCTTCTCTCTGTATATATACTTCCTTCAGCATTGTCTCCTAACAGCATTTCTCATCATTTTAAGTAATTCATCTACAGACAATGTACCCTTTAGAAAAAGTAGTCAGCTACGCTACAAGTGTGTGTTTTGAGTGGGAACCAGGGGCGGTCCTGGCTCACTTGGTGCCCTAGGAAAGAGCATTTGAAAGGATCCATTTGTAATAAATTTGAAAAAAACTAAAATCATGTGCTATTTGCAAATTCAACATCACTGAATGTGACAGCTCTACACTGCATTATTTATCATCAGCTAATTTCAAGAGCAAAGACCGCAATAGGACAGAGAGAGTGGCATCAGCACTGATGAGAGAATTTAGTCTCACTACTTTCAATTAAAAGTGTGTTGAGCTCCAGGATGCAACACCGGACTTTCCATTTCATTTGTGGCAGTTTGCGTGTCTGCTCGCTGAAGAGAGATGCTTATCTCCGATGGGTCTGTGGAGTAGCGCTGTGTTATCTGGCCTCTGGGAGCTGCTGTAACATGCTCTCACAACTTTATTTTACCATTTTGGAAGGAGTACAATTTACATATGTGGACTCAACAAACAGATGCATTTACACTTGTGCAGTCACATTTGGAATGCATCTCAAATCATCTCCTGAAGCGGTTTGAACGATTGGATTGCAATCCATCTGGAATGCATTTCATAGGGGCACTTACACCTCGTATTTCATAATTGGCTATACAAGTGGCTAAGTGTAAAGCCCAAAGTGTACTTAGGTCATTCCACAAAAGTCCGCACACTGTCCTTGTGGCGCAATTTTCATCAAAGCAATTTTCACGTACAACAGCGCAGGCATGAGGTGAATATTGAAACAGAACGAGTTAAGTAGGTGGTACTGCACATGTGTCGAGCCACCGCTGAGTTTACTTAGCTGTATGAACACGTCTGTGCGCCAGATGAAACGGAACGCAGAAAGTGAAGTATACCCAGGCCTTAAATAGGGCCTTTATTAAGCTGTTGTATGAACCGTTTCATTTGAGCCATCCAAACCAACCAGTTTACTAATATTAAATGGCCCTGTCAATATGCGAGAGAATAGATAAAAGATAGTATTGTAAAAGCTAGAGTTTTTTGCAGCTGGACTTAATTAATGCGCGGTGTGGCTCGTCCTGCTCTTACAGATGGGAATTAACCGTCGCTAATGTACAGGCAATGGCCAGTAACCTTCTGGAGAGATTAACTTGAATGAATACTCGAATGAAATGAAGATGACAAAGCAGCGGTGTTCATCCAGATGCGTCGTACCACTGATCCCATTTGAGACCAGGGAATAAATCAGACACAGAAAGAGGGAGAGTGAAAGATGGAGAACCAGAGCCATGTGACAGGTGTTTAACATCACGTCTCTCTCAACGAAAGGAGAGAGTCTCCACATAAGACTGAGATGAGGACCTCTTGTACTTCATCTCTCTATCTTCCATTTGTCATCTCAACTTGAAGAAAAACACTGGTGGATTTTGATGTTTCATGCGATGTCGCACATGGGCACTTCCCTAAAGCAGGTGCATCCAATCCTGCTCTTGCAGGGCCATCTTCCAGCAGAATGTAGCTCCAGCCCTTATTAAACCCACCTGAACCAGCTAATAAAAGTCTTCAAGATCACTAGAAGTATCCAGACAGGTGTTTTGGAGCTAAACTCTGCAGGAAAGTGAGCCCTGCCCTAAAGCCTGGATGCTCCCCAAAAGTACACATTTTGGACATCTCCCTTAACTGACCCATCCATTTCTGCTATTGGAGTTTCTACTAATGAGCTGATTCAGGTGTGTATCATTATGAAGAGATTGAAAATGTGAGTTGGGATGGCTTCAAGATCCTTAACCACTATAGCATGTGGATATGTTTCTTCTTCTCAAATCCTGGAAGAGGAACTTGGTATAGTGTAATGGTCAAGCTGAACTGTTGTTTTAATAGTACCTGTGTTTGAAGAGGTTTTGCAGTCATTACTGTAATTAATTTTTTGTTAACATGCATTTTTATGGTCACACTTTATTTTAGAGTTCAAATCTCACTTTTAACTATAATTTTTGCATCAAAAAACTCATAATTTGCTGCTTATTAATAGTTAGTAAGGTAGCTGTTAAGTTTAGGCATTGGGTCGAATTATATCTGCTTATAAGTGGTAATAAACAGCCAATATGCATTCTAATAAGCAACTAGTTAATAGTGAGAATTGGTCCTTAAAATAAAGTGTTACCATTTTTACAAAACAGAAGTAACAACTCCAAAACATTTTTAACGTTTCAGCTTTAAGACCATGTAACCAAACAACCAGAAGAGATATACAATATAGTGACTCTTCATCCATCTTCAATCTTTTGGTAAAATAAGGAGGTCATGTAATAAAGAGAATACTATTAGCACACTTTGAACCTGCTCTCTTCTCTAGTATTGGAAATTCACTTCTATTGATCACCCAATAGCTATATTATAGGGACTGAATACTTGATCCCTAATCCCTTTATGGACTGAACTCGATTGAACCATGTCCCTTAATTGTGTGTGTGTGTGTGTGTGTGTGTGTTTCACATGACCACATATACACTCAAACACATTGTGCTGTAGGGCTTTTTACTATAATGGTTCCTATTCTGATAAACTAAAGCAATTGCAGAAATGTCAATAGCCTTATGGTGTTTTGGAACTTGAACTTGAATGAAAGGGTTTTCCTTTATTCCCCGTTGGGTCTACAACTGGATAATTTACCATTTTGTCCACTTTGTCTGATATAAGTGCAGGAAAAAGAGCTGAATGTGATGTAGAAATGTATGATACTTCTCTACAACACCGTTCTCGAAGTACCTCTCATTATTATTCATGAGAAGGTGTGGCCGAACACAGTATTCTAATATTTAATTCACGCTTCTGCACATTCACACCTGTCACCAATGAATTAATTTGGTGTCTTTCACAAGAAACCTGGCGTAACGCTTACTGACATGCCAAGTTTGAATATGCACCTGCGCAAATGTGATTTGAAAGCTGTGTCGGGGGAAAGATTTGCAGCAAACTTACATTTTGGTCTGTTGCTCATAAAAGACTATCGTATAAGAGAAAAGTACATTTAGCATAATAGCATTTTTTTACCCACTTAAGTACATCCTTTTTAATATATAAGTTCATAATTACTTCTATTATCCTTGAAATATGGTTAAAGCGCACTGCTGAATGTATTGACAATTATGGTAACTACAATATTAATTTAATTAATTTACGCAAACTTACATTTTGGTCTGTTGCTCATAAAAGACTATCGTATAAGAGAAAAGTACATTTAGCATAATAGCATTTTTTTACCCACTTAAGTACATCCTTTTTAATATATAAGTTCATAATTACTTCTATTATCCTTGAAATATGGTTAAAGCTCACTGCTGAATGTATTGACAATTATGGTAACTACAATATTAATTTAATTAATTTATGCATTTAGCAGACGCTTTTATCCAAAGCAACTTACAGTGCATTCAGGCTATACATTTTTACCAGCATGTGTGTTCCCTGGGAACTGAACCCACAACCTTTTGCACTGCTATCACAATGCTCTACCACTGAGCCACAAGAACAACATACTTTTTGCAGCAAACTTACATTTTGGTCTGTTGCTCATAAAAGACTATCGTATAAGAGAAAAGTACATTTAGCATAATAGCATTTTTTTACCCACTTAAGTACATCCTTTTTAATATATAAGTTCATAATTACTTCTATTATCCTTGAAATATGGTTAAAGCTCACTGCTGAATGTATTGACAATTATGGTAACTACAATATTAATTTAATTAATTTATGCATTTAGCAGACGCTTTTATCCAAAGCAACTATACATTTTTACCAGCATGTGTGTTCCCTAACACAATGCTCTACCACTGAGCCACAAGAACAACATACTTTAATGTCATTTTTACTGAAGCCTGTATGTTTTATATATAAATTATATATTATAATATTTAAACATATTTGTCATTTGTTATGGTGCAGTTGTAATTAAGTATGTTTCAAATAAATTAAATGTAACACTGAGTAACACTACAGTTAAAATCAAGTTCTTCGGTCATTGTACACATTTCAGTGAACACCTTTGGCTGTTGGGTTGCATCTCACCCTTCGGCTGGGGCCATCTAAGATGTAAAACCAGCCTTATTATACTAGGCCTTCACTAGATTAGGGATTCATGGCACAGACCAAAGGGAAAGACATGGCAGCTCAGTCCAGAAGACTAGTCCAATGTCACAGTCAGCCACAGCACACTGTCTGAGGGGGTCTTAAAGAATATATTCTTCATTAATTTACCCCAACCCCCCTAGCATTTTCTTCCTACTCAGTATCATTTTAATTGCATCTCAATGCTTAACATATATATATATATATATATATATATATATATATACATACATGTTTTTTCTTAAAAATGGCACAAAAACAAAACAAAAAATCAAACCATATGAAACCAAGAGATGTTTCTTGTGGACACTTGATATTCAAATTGTGGACACACAAATCAATAAACAGTATTTTTATTTTTTTAAACAGAGATGAGTCAAAATAGTTTTCTGTGGTAATCGACATTATGCCACAAATGCTTTATGTATCTCTCAGTCTCTCTAAATTGACACTGAGGGATGAAAATGCAACTAAACAGCTGAATTTACAGTAAATTATACTGTGTAGAATAAAAAAAATCATATTATGGCCTACTGGAATATCAAAGATCAGAGGAAGCAAATACAAATCACATTACGGTTGTTTTCGCAGGCTGACACATACTGTATTTGTCCAAAAATAAGCTTATGTCTCTGTAGGGTTTGAATGCTGAGTGCGCTGGAACACACACCTGCAGGACAGCATTCAGCACCTGGACACACACACACACACACACACTGACCCTGCTGGACTCTAGGACACTAAAATAGTCACAGCATGGGAGATTTCTGCTAATTTACCATTGACAACAAACTAAATACCATCAGAGGAGAGAAGGAGGTGTTTTCATTGTAGAAGCTAACCACAACCAAGTGAGATGTAAGATCAAATATAAGTAATGCTGCATGACTGTTGCCGTTTCTCACAAAAATCTGATTTGTGAGATAAAAAAGTCGCAATTATCTTCTGCTTCTGCAAGATACTGTTACTGCACCTTTATACAGCTGACAAGCATCTGACTGAATACACTTTTTGTTAGCAACATATATAACACAGTATGTATATGTTTAATGGCCATGTACCATTGACCGATTGTATAGATCAGATAATCAAGTTGAATCAAGTAATTGGTCCTGCCAACTAAAACACACCAACATCGCTCAGTAAGCATAGAATACTGTAATAAGAATTCAAATGTGACAGTGTGACATTTCAGTGCGTTTCATGTCATTAATATTGTATTAAATCTAATAAGCATAGAATATTTCACAGATATCTCTAATAACATATTGGTTCTCGCAAAACTCTTAAGACATGATGCCATGATCTTTGCAAACTTTAGTAAAACCCTAACCTTAACCTGAGTATAGCATTGGTAGCTGGCATGTAAGGTGAACTCAAGACAAGGGAGAAAAGATCCAAATGATCAAATAAAAACAAAAGTACAGGAAAAACTGGAAAGCACCAAGAAACAAGGAACGAGAAGCAGAAGGTCAACCAAATAGACCGGACAAGGAACATAGGAACGCAAGGTCTACATGTACACTAGAGTAAAACTACAAACTAAAAGACCACATAAAGCAAGAGCACAAAAACACAGAACCAAGACAGTAGCACATTCTTATAGACAGCATTACTGTGTGTCCCAATCAAAGCACACTGCTATTGTTATGTAAGTAAATGTTAGTGTGCAGTTACAGTGTATTCCAGCTTAACAAATAGATTATGCTGTAGACATTTTAATTCTAGTTGCGTTTTATCTGTGCTGCTGAACCTATTGTTGGTTCACTTTTAGCAGTGTGTGTTGTTGGTTTATGTTGTAAGTGTTGTTTTTATTTTTGTTATCATTATTTTATTATAATTTTTTTCACATTTCTCAAAGATATTTCTCAGCAGTTGCTTCACTATTGTGAAAGATCCATCTACAAATGATTATGAATAAGTTACTGGTTGGTTATCATAATGCTAAAGCAAGGAATAGTTTGCCTAACTTAAAATCAGCCAATTAGCTTATTTCATATTCTAGCTTGTCATCATTTTACCAGTGTTTGTCTTTGTCACACTTCTGACTTGGCTACATTAGAAATTTGAGTATGAACATAAAAGCTCCAAGATCGCAAACAAATTGAACACTAATCACAGTTATGGTAACTTCAAAACTATTTCAGTGGTAAACAGTTACATTTCTGTGGTACTGTTTAAGACAACTTTATAATGTGAATTCACAGTAAAACAAGAGCAGTAAATTACTCTGATGTTAGCATCATTCTGCTGTTCATTCACGGTAATGTGTAAGAAAATGACCCGGTGTCCCTTGATTTCACAGTAAATTTCTGACTACACTAATTTATTGTACAATAATTATCTTTATAACCCTGTAAATTATGTAAATTTTTACAGTGCATCCATGATATTTCTGATCTCTGACCTGAATATGTAAAGTCTAGGTAAAGACTAGTGACTCTGTGAGTTGACCAATGGATTCGCTAACGGATAGCATGAGTGTGACATGTCAACTTCTAGCTCGACCAATGATGTGAATTTGAGGTTGGGGCCTTAAGAGTGTTTAGGAAACCTATTTGGAAACAGTCATTACTTTTGCCATTTGCTGCCACTTGTAGTGCAGAATTTACACATAGCGGTCCTGATAAAGCAAAGCACAAATCCGAATGAGTTTGTGGGGAAATAGGAGTAGGAAGCGTGAGGCATGAAGGGGAGAGATGGTGGGCAGTAGAGCACTGTGCAAACACAGAGCTGCCGGGCTGTGAAACAGCATGCAGCAGCGGGATACCTCATTACACACAGCAGGCCTGCAACTGATCGCTATTCATTCTGCTCAGATGAACACACACAGAAGAGACCGGGATTGTGCGTAATCAGGACATGTCATTTAACTATTTAACATTATCACCTCTCTAAGTGTGGCGCACACAATCACACACGTACATCTTCAATTATAAGGGCAGAGGGGAAATGACCAAGTAAAATAGTAAAACATAGTCACTAATACACTGTTACTTATTCCAATTCTGCACATTTCAATTCAATTAATTGCTACATTGCTTGTTAACCATTAACAGTCAGTAGGCCTACTTAAGAGCTATTCACACCAAGAGTTGAATGTATACATATGTATGTATAAGTACGTATATTTTTATCATGTACTGTAAGTTGCACAACAACTGGTTTGCGATACTTCACATGACCAGCGTTTAAAACTAAAATAAGTGTGCCTTTTCACCTCCTCACATATCCATTTTTGTTGTTCCAACTTCTACTTTGAGTAGTTCTTAAATGCAACTGCCCAACTTTGACAAACTTTACAAAATAGTGCAGTCATTATAAAAATTTTGGTTCCTTTTTATTTATTTTTATTTTTATTTTTTAAATCTATTGAACATTGGTGTTTTTAATCACATGGACATTTGTGCCATTTTATAAAATCAATAGGCCACAAGAGACTGAGAGAATTTTTATAATTTACTAAAAATTTACAATAATTTACTTTTAAAAGGCTTTGCTTCACATCTCACCTCACAACAGCACTGAAACTCACAACCAGGATAAAATCATTGTGACTCACATCTTTGTCAGACTTCAAAATAAATCCACTGATTCAGAAACAATGAATATTTCCAGCTCCCAGAGGTGTAAAGTATTGGCTTCAATTATAAGGGCAGAGGGGAAATGACCAAGTAAAATAGTAAAACATAGTCACTAATACACTGTTACTTATTCCAATTCTGCACATTTCAATTCAATTAATTGCTACATTGCTTGTTAACCATTAACAGTCAGTAGGCCTACTTAAGAGCTATTCACACCAAGAGTTGAATGTATACATATGTATGTATAAGTACGTATATTTTTATCATGTACTGTAAGTTGCACAACAACTGGTTTGCGATACTTCACATGACCAGCGTTTAAAACTAAAATAAGTGTGCCTTTTCACCTCCTCACATATCCATTTTTGTTGTTCCAACTTCTACTTTGAGTAGTTCTTAAATGCAACTGCCCAACTTTGAGTGTTGCCATCTAGTGGACACACAAAATAGTGCAGTCATTATAAAAATTTTGGTTCCTTTTTATTTATTTTTATTTTTTAAATCTATTGAACATTGGTGTTTTTAATCACATGGACATTTGTGCCATTTTATAAAATCAATAGGCCACAAGAGACTGAGAGAATTTTTATAATTTACTAAAAATTTACAATAATTTACTTTTAAAAGGCTTTGCTTCACATCTCACCTCACAACAGCACTGAAACTCACAACCAGGATAAAATCATTGTGACTCACATCTTTGTCAGACTTCAAAATAAATCCACTGATTCAGAAACAATGAATATTTCCAGCTCCCAGAGGTGTAAAGTATTGGAGTAAATGTAATTAGTTACTGTACTTGAGTATCATTTCGGGTACTTTGTAGTTATACTGAGTATCAAAGATATTAGCAACTTTTACTCTCTACTTCACTACATTTTTGAATGAGTATCTGTACTCTTTACGCCACTACATTTGAAATGAGTGTTGCAGTTACACATTACATTTTGCATGGACCTAGCTTTTTCTGCAGCAGTTTATTTCTGCTACAAAAGACGTGGTACTGCCTGTTACAGGTCACTGAAAGTACTGCATCTTGTGCGTTTTGCCCTTACTCACCCAAACTTTTCAACAAGGCTACTTTATGTGAATGCAAGTTCCTTAGCAAGTATTTGTGAATCACAGGTGTTTTATGAGATGAGGACATGACTGCAGCCGGCAATGTGGCCCAAACCAGCACATCCATTGCAAGAAGGCTTCGGCTTTTTAATTTGACTCATCCATTATACTGAAAATACCTTTTTGAAAGATATTGTTTTTTGTTTGTTTGTTTGTTTTGTTTTG